AATAATGCTAGATAAATGGGATCTCCATCATTATTGACTTCACAGTCCCTGTACAGTTGATAGTCTCTCAATCTATGAGGAAGCACTCTATTCCTTGTAGGTCTGTGATTGACTGCTTCAGTGGTGTTATCAGAAATATTCTCAGCATCCTCAGTTCTTTCTTCACCATCAAACTCCAACCCTATGTGTGGTGTGATATTATTGTCCAAGTCAGATTTCCAGGAATTTAATTATTCATCAAATATGACATCTCTGCTGTACTCAATCTTCTTGGATCTAGGATTGTATAGTCTGTAAGAGCCAGCGGGATTATATCCTACAAATATCATGGATTCATATTATCCAGCTTCTTCCTGGTCTGATCAGGTGTGTGCTTATAGCATAGACATCCAAATATTTTGAAGTGAGTAATTGATGGCTCCTTACCAGACCAGACCTCTTCTGGGACTTGATTGTTCAGTCTTTTAGTAGGTGACCTGTTTAAAATATAAACAACGGTAGATACAGCTTCACCCCATAGATTGTGAGGTACGCTCTTCCCTTTGATCATACTTCTAACCATGTTGAGTACTATTCTGTTTCTCCTCTCAGCAATCCCATTATGCTGAGGTGTATATGGGGCTGTAATCTCATGGATTATGACATTGTCCCTGAAGAACATCTCCAATTCTGTTGAACAGAATTCTCCACCACCATCAGTCCTGATAACCTTGAGACAATGATCTGATTGCTTCTCAACCAGGACTTTAAACAATTTCAAGGTTTCACAGACTTCACTTTTTGCCTTTAGCAAATACACCCACATTTTCCTGCTGAATTCATCAATAAAAGATACAAAGTACCTATTTCCTCCCAGTGATGCAGTTTCAAAAGGGCCATAAACATCATAAAATACTACATGTAGTAGTGCAGTAGCTCTAGGAGAAACAAAAGTAGAAACAGACCCTCTAGCATGATTTCTAATCACACATTTATCACACAAAGTACGGGATATCTTGATAGTAGGTAACCCATGAACCATACCTTGTGTTTGTAACTTGTTCAAGTCTCTGAAATTGAGGTGACCATATCTGTAGTGCCATAACCAAGATTGATCCAGAACCTCTGTAACAAGGCACTTAGATTCTAATGCTGCGATTTGGACTTGAAATGTTTTATTGCTGGAGGCTGGTACTCTAAATACCCTTCTGCCTTGAGGATCATAAGCATTCAACACTCCTTTCTCCATATGAATAGAAAAACCTTTCTCAAGCAGTTGTCCAATACTGAGTAGGTTACTTTTCATCCAGGTACAAACAATACTTCACATATCAAGGCTTCAGTTCCATCTCTCTTTATGAAAACCACATCTCTTGTACCTTCTGCACAAATCAATATGTCATTTGCAAACCTTATTTTACTTTTCTTTGAATCATCAAAGTTCACTAGCCAATTCTTCTGACCAGTCATATGGTTGGAACAACCAGAGTCCAGGTACCAAGTGTTGGAATCAATCCCTTCCAGATGAGTAGCCATCATCAAGGTTACAGGCTCCTCAGCTATGTCTTTGTCATCCTGAGCAAGGTTTGCATCCTCTATTTGTGTATTGGCATCATAGAATTCTTCTGGACAAGGTGCTCTACATTCATGTGAGAAATGACCCACCTTATTGCAATTGAAACACATGATCTTTCTTCTGTCAATACGTTTCTTGCCCCTTTTAGTTTGATTAAATCCACCGGCCACCCTATTCACAGAGCTTTCAGGTTGTTCTTGATCTTGTGTAAGAGTATTCTTGACAGAATATCCACCTTTGAAGGATCTCCCCCTTCCTCTACCTCGAAAACCACCTCTATTGTAGTCAAATCTGTTAGTAGATTGTGCTTGCAAAGCCTGATCAATAGGTTTTTCAACCTTCCTTTGCATCATACGCAGTTCATAGGCTTCAAGTGATCCTTGCAACTGTTCCAACTTCAGAGTTGTAAGATCATTGGCTTCCTCTATAGCTACAGACACATGATCAAACTGAGGTATGAGAGTTCTCAGAACCTTAGCAACAATATTTCTTTCGGTAATTGTATCTCCACATTTCTTCATAGCATTGATTAGGGCAATAACACGATTGACATAACCTGTTATGGTTTCATTCTCCTCCATGTGCATCTATTCATATTGTCTGCTCAGAGTTTGAAGTCGAACTCTCTTCAACTTTTCTGCGCCTTCATCGCATTGTTTGAGAATCTGCCAGACATCATGAGTGGTAGAGGCGTTCGCAATCTTCTTGAAGTGAGCATCATCCAAGCACTGATGAAGCAAGAACATGGCCATGCAATCTTTCTTCTTATTTTCTTTGTATGCAGCTTTTTTCGCATTTGTAGATGTGGCTGAGACAGTTGGATATCCTTCTTCCACAATTTCACTGACCTCTTCATATCCGAGTATCACCTTCATATGAATGGACCATCTATGCCAATTCTTTCCGTCGAGAATCAGTAGGTTGAAGATTAGGTTATTCATTGCCTTCATTATTGTCCTGAATATTATGTTTAGTAGCTAATTAAGTATGTGACTTAATTGTGGAATGCTACACTTCTCCGTATCTTGAGCCAATATCTGATACCAGATGTTAGAGAATCTAACTAATTAGAAATCTGTTTGAGAAGAAATAACGGATATCAATCACAACTAACTCCAACTTCTTATTCATAGCAGCATACACATCAAGTATTTATAGGGTACTTATACAAATAAAGGTGTTTTGTATTAATTTAACACTAATAACTAGTAAAAACATATCATCATTCAATTAGCTATATTATTACAGACAATGAATGTGTGAACATGACACAAACCTTATTTCTCTAGCACAAGAAAACAAAAGACTGTTGATGATATTATGATTAATTAGGATTAATGCTTAACAATTAAAAAATAAATTTCATATTTTAATTAGTTCAGTTTGTTCGGTTCGGTTTTGAAGGGTAAAAACCAAAATCGAACCAAAAAACTACGGTTCAATTTTTTACATTCGGTTTCGATTTTTTAGCAGTTCGGTTTATTTGGCTGCGGTTCGATTTAATTTGATCCAATTTTTGGTTTTCGGTTTTTTGGACCTAGCCCTACCCCATATATTATATCCTTTTGTCATGTGTTATACGTAGTATAGTTTTGATTCAACCTTAATTGTCTTTGAAAGAAAACATAAGGTGTAAAGCGGGCTATGAAATTATGGGAAAGTTATGTTTAACTTATATCTTATTAATAAAATTAAAATACATTACATGAAAATAGCTAAAATAGTATTCTACAATAATGTTAGTCAATTCAACCAGAAAAGTATTTAATTATTTTGCGATTGTTTCTACTTTAAAAGGTGATTTTTAAAAGTGAGTTTATAGAAAGTACTTAATAGTAAAACTGTAAAAGTTGGTAGTGTTTGAGAAAAAGTGTTTCTAAAAAAGCAAAAGTTGATAGTATTTGGTAAAATTAGTGGTTTTTGAGTAATAGAAAAGTGAAAAGCTATTTAAAGTGCTTAATTTAAATAAAAGTTTTCACTTGAAAACACTCATTTAAGCCCTTTTTAGGCCAAAAGATGAAAACCATTTTTCTATATTTTTTCAAACACTCTTATTTTGAAAATTACACAATTCAATGATTAAAGTAAAAAACTATGTGTTTGGTAAAAAGTTGGCTAATAAGGATGATAAACAGAAATTATAAGTTACCAAACGGGGTCTAAATGGTAGATTATTGTAATTAACTATAAGTTCGTTTCCATGCACTTATTTGTTTTTACAGCTTTGCTAATTTCATATCTATTCTATTATATAGTCAAATTGTTTGTGCTATTGGAACCATGTGTTTGGAGAATGGTTCTCCTTATGTTATTGATATGCCAATGGACGTGTATTTTGTGGTGAAACACTTAAATATTTTTGTTATTGGCTATTAAATAATGTTAACTGCTAATGTTAGTCTAATCTTTTTCTTTGTCATTGTTGCTCTTGGATGATACACATAATTAGGACCTATTGTTGGTGTTTTTCTTCTCTTATTGTCTGGTGTTTTTCTTAGATGACTATAACTTTTTTATCCACTTTTTTTAAAAATTTTGTGTCATTTCTATTCTTTTTGAATGACTATAGTTCTCACGAATCCAAAGTACTACTTATTTCCACACTCTTATGAGATTGTTAAAGTGAAATTGTTGACACCCCAATATATATCCACTCCATTGAAAAGTTGAACTCATGACCTCCTTTAGTACTAGAATTTTAGATTATAATACTCTTTCATCCTGTTCGGTTAGTGTCACTCTCAAGTCTCACCATTCGAAACCCCTTAAGCACCACATTTAGTATCATTGTTTAGCTGTCAATTCTTTGATTTAGTGATTTGAATCGGAGGGAATAATCAACCCTTGTCCGTATTAGTAGTCGTTTTTTCTACACACACATACTTATGTTTTCTCATCTAGCATCAAAATATTTTACTCTTTTATTTTTCTAGCTACAAAAATACTTCATAAAAATAAAAACTTGAAATGTTACTCTCACGAGTATAACATTTTTCACCTTATTAATAGATAATGCCTCAGAATGTCTCTCTATCAAAATTATTTGTTCGGATTCAAATCATTTGGTTTCAATACTTGGTAAGTTTATTGTTATCCTTTAAGTACTAATTAAAAAAATGGTTTTTATAAATTTATTTGGCATTGTTGGGCATTGGCTCAATCGCGCAACACGCGACACAAAACCTAGTGTGTATATATACACACACTCCATAGTACTTCCTCCGTCCCTCTTATATTGAGATGAAAAAAGGTGACACGATTATTAAGAAAAGTGTGTTTGTGTGTTGATATTAATTGATAAAGTAAAGATAAAGTAATAATGATTTAAAGACATACAAACTTTGTCAAATATGATATGTGACAGTTTTAGTGGGATTTTCTGAAAAAGTAAAACGGGAAAATAAAAGAGGGATGGAGGGAGTATATAAAGGTCCCTAATTTTTTAATTTTGTTTGGGATCTTGAGGCTTGAGGCACGGCCCTGCCTATAACTCCTATAAGCTGTTAACCATACGAACAGTGGATTGTCTCGGTTGAGTTAGTGCAATTCAAAATCCCAATGCATTTTCTAATTTCTTATAGATCTTGGAGTTCTTGACTGTGATTCTACTACATTACAGTAATCCAGAGATTACATTAACCCCACCACCCAAATCGTTCATCTCTTCTTCAGATCCACTGAACCGACTGAGAACTATGAAACCCTCAGAAAGCAAGAAAGACTTTATCTATGTGAGTTTCCCAGACAGCTGAAGCAAATCCTAGTTTTTTTTAGCTGCAATGGAGTTTACAGAAGCATATAAACAGTCTGGGCCTTGCGCCTTCTCTCCAAATGCTCGTTTTCTGGCCGTAGCCGTTGATTATCGCCTTGTCATTCGGGATGTGCTATCTATGAAGGTACGACCTCTCTTTGCACAAGATCAAAATGCTCATCTTTTACATTTTGTAGTTCTTATCCTGGTTTGCATTACACTTTAGATTTCGATACGAAGAGGAATATACTTGTGCAGTTGTGCAAAAAGATTCAATTTTCACTTAAACTATTGGTTCTAAGCTGAGTGGGTTAATGGCTAAATGCCTCTCAAATGACATTTTGAAAGATGTATATGTCAACAGTTGATATAGGCCGTTACTCAATAGAGTTCTTATGAGCAAAAGAATGGTTTGGTGGTGACTTTTTTTACTTAATAGAACACTTCAATAATTATCTATGTTGAAGAAGCTGTTTTCAATTTGGATATGGTTTGGAACTAAAAATCCTTCTGCTATCTCAATTTGCATAATAATAGGTGGTGCAACTATTTTCATGCTTGGATAAGATCACATACATAGATTGGGCTCTTGATTCGCAATATATCCTTTGTGGTCTTTACAAGAAACCATTGATTCAAGCTTGGTCACTGTCACAACCTGAATGGACATGTAAAATAGATGAGGGTCCAGCTGGCATTTCCTATGCTAGGTGGAGCCCGGACAGTCGGCACATATTAACAACATCTGAATTCCAACTACGGTTAACTGTCTGGTCACTACTTAACACTGCATGCATACATGTACAATGGCCAAAGCATGGATCTAAGGGAGTATCCTTCACCAAGGATGGAAAGTTTGCTGCAATTTGCACAAGACGTGATTGTAAGGACTACGTCAATCTGTTGTCTTGTCAAACTTGGGAGATAATGGGCGTTTTTGCTGTAGACACATTGGATTTGGCTGATATACAGTGGTCTCCTGATGATAGTGCCATAGTGATATGGGATTCTCCTCTTGAATATAAGGTGCAGCTTTCATTGCAGTATGCTTTCTCTCCTTATGTCAAGACCTTTCATTCTAAATATTTAAGTATCTGATGAAGATTAATGTGAATATGTGTGCCGGTATTTCCTGGAAATAGTAGTGTTGTTCTAAGCACATATGTAACTGGATGCTTATATAACTCTAATGTTTGTCTCTTACTAAGCTTAAAGCTGCAAAGTTTTTTCTAATTATTGACTTTTAAAAAAAGTCTAATACATGATGTGTATTGAACTATTGATTAGTTTGGGTTGGCCAACCTATGTTAGTTTTATTGTTTACCATACGCCCTCATGCATGGGTATGCTAATCACTTCTCCTTCACGTTACCCTGATTTTGCCCTTATTGGCTGAAGAAGGCAGAAAATTATGAAAGAATTACAATATCAAAAATTAAATAAATGAAAAAGTCCAATACTTATTAATACTTTCAGAACTTAGGAATAGGGATATGCCTAAAACAACTAGAAGTCTAGAAAACAAGATCCGGAATCTTGAGCAAATAGGATCTCTAACTGTCTGGCAGTCCACCAAGGCGGGAAAAGGCGGGCAGGTTGCCTCATCCCTTTCTTTGTGGGCAAACTGAAATTTTTATTGATACTATGTTGTGTTTGCACAAGGAGTCAATAAAAGATGCAATGGTGAATATTACTTGGAATGTTGGATTATAGATGTTATGTTTATGTTTTGTTGGATAGAGTTGTTGACTACTAATTTTTGATCTCATGTCAATTGAATTGAAATCATTTTTCTCAGTGTTTATGACACGAAATGACGTTATAATGTTAGATAGATATTTAAATATGGAAAAAATTAAGCATCAATAATAATCAATATGTCAAAATAAAAAATACTTCTTGTTCTAAGAAGAATCCCAGGCTCATTTCTTCTGGCCACGTGGCACCATAACTGTCCATAACCTTGTGATAATCTTCAACTAATAGATACAAACACACTAGCTGTTTTTTTCATTGTACAATTATCATATGGGTTTGGTAATATACCAACTGTGTTTTTTTTCAATAGGTTTTAATATATTCGCCAGATGGGAGGTGTCTGGCTAAGTATCAAGCATATGAGAGTGGTCTGGGTGTGAAAAGTGTTTCATGGTCACCTTGCAGCCAATATTTAGCTGTTGGTAGTTATGACCAAATGTTAAGAGTTCTGAATCACTTGACATGGAAAGTATTTGCAGAATTTGTGCATTTGTCAGTAGTCCGAGGTCCTTGCTGTGCTGCTGTTTTTAAGGTTAAGACTTCTTTTTTATGCTCCGTTTGGCACATGAAAACATGAAAACATTTTCACGGCAATATTTTCCTATGTTGTGGCCCAGGAAAATATCAAGAGAACTCTATCCTTGATCCGTTAGACTTTTGCAAAATTGACTTCCTGTTTTGATATGAAAAGTCATTTTCATGAAACAGTTATGTTTATTATTTTATAAGTGTCATGTGTTATATTATTCATAGAAAGTATATAACAACTTTTTTTCCCAGTAAAACACTTATCTAGAGAAACAGATTGCACAAACAGAGACTTAATGTTACAGACAGGGGGTGGGGCATCTTTCTTGTTTCAAAACACTGTTAATGTTTATTTTTTAAACCTTTCAGGAAGTAGACGAACCGTTGAACCTTGATATGTCAGAATTGTCTCTGAGTGATGATTTTGCTCATCACAATAATGGTAACACTAGACTTCCTTTCTGTCATTTGAGGACCAAAAATTGCTACTTGTTTAACATGTTTACTTACAAATAAATAAGTAAACACTGTTTTCTAAATAACAATCTTTCCCATTCGCATTTTACCCTGATATATTGTTTTCCAGATGAAGCTCCTGAAAGACAGATACATGTCAGGTATGATATCATGGAGGTACCCATTACTCTTCCTTCTCAGAAGCCTGCTGTAGATAAACCAAACCCTAAACAGGGAATCGGTAAGGCATATTCTGATGCGTATGCTTTTTATTGGGAGTAATTAATTTATTTGTCTAGTTTTTCCTTCCAAAATAAAATTAGTCGTATTTTCCCTTTACGTATGTTGCTTGATCATTATGAGAATGCTGGAAATATGGAAACGAAAAGGTTCTTAATCGAAATTTATGTCAGTAAGTGAGAGCTCTTTTGGGCATCTCAGAAATTCCTTATCTCGAATTGTGCCAGAACCACTACAGTTTGGGCTAATTAACATAAAAATCCAATCATTTGCATGAAAGTTGGAACATAAATGATTTTTCAGTGTGTTGGATCGAGTGTTTTGGAGGGATGACTTGTTTCTTAATGTGCATTGAAAAGTTACAATTATATGTGATTGGATAACATTTCAACCCCATCTTATTCACTTTTAGAAACATCCTATGTCAAAATGCAGAACAAGTCCTCAAAAGCCTTTCCCTCCAAACTTCTCCATCCAAGAAGACCCTTGTCAAATACTGCATAAACATTTTTAATTGATAATTTTAAGTTTTATCGGATCTATACCAAATTTCAAATCTTGACGAAATGAATTAATTTGTTTTAAAGAATTGGCTAGATTACAAAATTCAGGCAAAAGATTGGAATCTTTTACTACCTGCATCCCGTCTTAATATTCTCATTAGAATATAATATGATTTTTTAGATAATGTTATGGATGCATTATTCTTAATATGTGATAATTAAGATGTCTTTTGTGAGTATTAACTATTTCCTAAAATAAAAGTGGAAACCTTTAAATGGGACGTCCAAAAGAGACAAGTGAGATCCTTTCATGGGATGGAAGTAGTATTAATTAGGCCATGCAGTTTTGGAAAATTTCTCACTGTAAGCAGGGATTCATATGGCCTTCTTTTCATTTCAACAGGCCTAATGTCATGGAGCAATGACAGCGAATACATATGCACTCGCAATGACAGCATGCCAGCTGTCCTATGGATATGGGATGTACATCGCCTCGAGCTTGCAACCATCTTGATACAAAAAGACCCCATTCGGGCAGTGGCTTGGGACCCATCTTCTACTCGCCTAGTTTTATGTACAGGCAGCCCACATTTGTACATGTGGACACCCTCAGGTGCTTATTGCATAAATGTCCCTTTGCCTCAATTCTCTGTAATGGATCTGAAATGGAATTCAGATGGGAGTTGCCTGTTTGTGAAGGATAAGGAACAGTTTTGCTGTGCTGCTCTACCAATACTACAAGATTCTAGTGACTACAGCTCAGAAGATGACTGATTAACTTATATTATTTCCGAAGATTAAAACTTTCATGGGGACTCGATGATTTCGGGGGGAGTGATGTATTTACTCATACCATTGTTTTGTATAGTTAGACACTGATGAATCTGATGTATAATTAATTGTATACTGATCTGCTGAAATTCCTCTAATGGTACCAACACTTCATTTTCTCAGGCCTTTTATTTTCAGTGTATTATGTCTATGTTTGTGACATCAGTAAATTACAAAGCGTAATGAGGTTTTAATCCAACCCAACATTACTATGTCCTAGATTTTAAACAGAAATGTATTCAATTATTCTTGATTAGGATATATCTAGGCCTGGGACCGGTTCGGTTCCTAGGTAAAATATGTGGAACCGTTTGAAAATATGAAATTTTACTAACGGTTCGGTTCTTATAAAATATTTTATAGAACCGATAAGGAACCGAACCGTTCTTAACGGTTCGGTTCTTGTCATTTAACGGTTCCTAGTCTTTGAAAATTTTTTACCAATCATGACTAAATTTTTGTCAAAAAGACATTCAACGTTTGAAATTACAATACAAATATGATGAATCAGTTAAAGAGAATAATAATTTTAAATACTTTGGACCTTTTGAATTCCGACCCGCTGGAGTTTGGACCTAATGAGATGCCTAAGAAGCCTAAGAGAACGGGTTGAAGTGAATAATAATTTTAAATAGTTTTTCTTTTTGAAAATATAATTTTAAATAGTTAAATAACTAAAGTAATGAATGTAATATAAAAATAAAAATAAATATACATTAAAATACATATACCCATAATATATATATATAATTTTAATTATTATATATAACGGTTCCTTAACGGTTCCTGGTACATATTTTTTTCAGGAACTGAGAACCGAACCGTTAATAAAAAATAGGAACCGAACCGTTAAGAAATAACCATGGTTCTAAAACTCGTTCAACTCGGCCGCCTAGGCGCCGGAAAGTCGCTAGGCGGAAGGCTACCGCACTGATTTTCTTGTTTTCGCCCCTCATAGTCGCTGTACCGACTAATCGGCCGCAAAGACCGAGTAATCGCCCGAATCGTCCGAATAGTTCCACTGGTTAGTCGGCCATCGCATTCCAAAAAGACATGCTCATAGCTCATGAAACAATTCCACTTTCCTGGTGAAACCTCGTGTCCTCGGTCGTTTGCTCTTTCTTCTTTTCGGTCGTTCATAACAATTTTCCAGATGCCCTTCTTCTTCGTTGGCTTTTGAACCATTGTCTCCATTGTTCAGGTAAAGCTCTTTGGATTAATGTATTATTTTAGTTTTTTTGTTATTAGGACAGCGGAAAACATGTGTTGATTTTTTATACTTAATTGAGACAGTTTGTATGTAATTGTATGTGTCTGTGTGAGCAATGAGATTGAATGATTAATTGAGAAATTGATAATCTAGTATTGAAAGAAACTTTAAACGTAGCTATGGTGTTCGATAAAATTCCTCAAAGAAGTAATGCAAACTTTGACTAAAGATTTATTTCATTTACTTTATTTGTCTTAAAAAAGGAGTTGAGAATTGTAAGTTTGTCTATTTCTTAATCTTCAGTTGATGAGATATATATGATTACCACCTTCTTGATTGATAGTAATGTTAAAGTTTTAGGAAATTCAATAGTTTATTAATGTTAATTTCTGGGCTTTCTTCTTTTCCTTCATATGCATAATTTATTTGTATGCTGACTTGACAATCTCAAAGTCTTCTGCTTCTTATTTGGCAAAGAAGCAATAGGATGAGGTGTGCCGACTGTTTGACAGGAAGTTGAGACCATCATAAGGTGTTGCTTGACTTATTCATGATAAACTAGAATCATCATTGGGTGATCTCTCAAGGGCAGGGGATGTTCAAGCTTGCCAAGCTGCTCGAAAAGAAGCTGATGGCGCTTTGAAGAGCTTTCCAATGACTGCCATCATTGTACTCCTTCCAACAGGCTGCTTCAATCTGCCCCAAGGTCAAAAGAGATGGTAAAGAAGGAAACGGAAATTCCAGAGAAAGTGACACTGATGCATTTACTAGTCATAGATTGTTATGAGAAAAAGTCAAGGGGGCATGACATTAAAAAAACGTGTTGCTCAAATCTAGGAAAGAATTACATCCTTGCGGCACGAAGTTGATGAATTTCTTGAAATAATCAATGATATATAGCATATATATTTTAGTGTATATTTACTTATTTATTTTCATACTACATTCACTACTTTACTAGCATATATTTTCATGTACCCGGAACCGTTAAGGAACCGTTATATATGATAATTAAAATTAAATATATATTTCTTATTAGCATATATATTTTAGTGTATATTTACTTATTTATTTTCATACTACATTCACTACTTTACTTTAGTTATTTAACTACTTGAATTATTTTTCATTCAACTGCTTTAATTCGGCTTCTTTAACGAATATCTTGTTTTGTTTTGTTTTCAAAAATTTGTAGTTTGTTATGTATTTATGTTCTAAACTCAACTTTTGAGGTTTAAAATGATGTTCATCATATTTGTATTGTAATTTCAACCGTGATTGTCTTTTTGACACAAATTTAACCGTGATTTGTAAGAATTTTTTTTAAAGACTAGGAACCGTTAAATAACAAGAACCGAACCGTTAAGAACGGTTCGGTTCCTTATCGGTTCTATAAAATAATTTAGAAGAACCGAACCGTTAGTAAAATTTCATATTTTCAAACGGTTCCACATATTTTGCCTAGGAACCGAACCGGTCCCAGGCCTAATAAATATTGTTTCAGGACCATGTGTATTTAAGTTCAAATAGATGCTGCACATTTTGGGATTATTTGTTTGCTAGTGTCCCTTGTGTATTAACATCTTTTTACTGGTTTTTAACTTTTTTTAACACTAGCAGTTTGTTTAAACCTTTATAAACTCATTGTGAGGTTTTAATTGTAGTTGTAAACTGTAGCCATAACTTAATAATAATAAATTAATAATAATATGTTTAATGTAGTATTTTGTACTTAGAATATTTACCTATTTTTGGCATTTTGTTGAAACCGAGTTGGCCGCCTAGTCGGCGACTAGTCGGCGCCTAGTCGCCCTAGGCGCTAGGCGGTGCATTGCCGCCCGACTAGCGCCTAGCGACTTTTAGAACATTGGAAATAACTAATAAATGTCGGAACCGAACCGAACCGGGTCATAACGGTTCGGTCCGGTTCGGTTATCCGGTTCTTGGTTCCAAAGTCCAAGCCCTAGATATATCTACTCAATCATTGCATTCAACTGATTCAAGGATGGTTGGTTTTCTTATTCACACTAATGTCAGATTGTCAGTGCAGCCAGTGCTCCTGCATGGTGCAACTGTGCAATACATTTTAAGAGCTTTAGTGGAACAAAACACATTTTTAACGAGTTTTAGTGGGACTGGTGTTACTAAATACACGATGGTTGGAGAAGTGTTGTGTTTTCGAAATGACATTGTAATTCGATGGTTGTGTCAATGACACTAATATAGGAAGGTTGAAATTTTGGGTGAAATGGAGTTTATACTTTATAGTTTTCTAGAGCCTTGTGCTTATTTTTGTTAAGTACTCTTTGGACCTGGCTTTAATAATTGATTGATAGTAAATAGGAGATAATATAATGCACGATGGCTACTTCACTAATCCTAGTAATTCATGCTCCATAAATGTGCAAAAGTACCCTTTTTAGTTTCAAATGCAGATAACTAGATAAGTCTCTAAAGGTATGAAAGTTGCAAAAATACTCCTTTTTTGAAGAGAAACTAAAGGGTTGAGACATTTTAAGACATTTTAGAATTTATGAAATCTGGATTTATTTAATTGAGACATTCTATAAATCCTAAAATGTCTAGGTGTATTCATATTAGACTTGGACATGGATTGTATTTTACAACTTGGACTTATCTAAACTTACAAGCCCAAATACAAGCCCAAATCCCATTCCCAAATCTCACCTTCTCACGTGAGATTTGAAATCCATCGAGACAAAGCAGAAAACAATAACAGCAATGACATTTAGATGCTCGTTTCACAGATGTGAGGGGTCACCTTTTTGCGATGCGGCTATGTATTCCCTTGGTCTTAATCTGAATTTTCCGTGTTGGAACAGTTAGAAGTCGCCGGAAAAAAGACCGTCCCGTCCGAAAATCTATATTCGCGTGTCTTCCTTTTCGAATCCCTAAGTCCCTAACTCCATCGACGAATCTATCTATGTCGTGGCCTACAAAACTCCATCACTGAATCCCGGAAATAAAGCTTCGGCTTTGATGAAAATTGGTAACTTGCAAGTATGGGCAGGATGGTCTTCAAAGCTTCTGAAATAGTGCCTTCGCTTTGATAAAACTTCATAAAGCTTTTGAGTTTTGAGCACCATCCGTATTCCATAAGTCAAATACACCATACAGCCGGTTGTACCGTGCGCACGGTACAACCGCCCATTTTTTGTCCGCGCTTCTTCTTCGATCGATCTCGCTCTGGCCTTCTTCCTCGATTTCGCACCAGCAACTTCAGATCTCGTCTAGTTCTTCGATCTGGCTTCGCACCTGGTTGATTATACACTCACCACTCATCTCTTTCTCTTTCAGGTTGTTGCTCGCCGTTGCCTCTCACCGCTCATCTCCTTCTCCTCTAGAACGGACACAACAGATCTCCTTCTGTCTTTCTTTTTTTCTCTTTTTCATATTCAATTTCGGTGTTTGAGATTGTGACTTTGGAAGACAAAGGGAGCCTACTGCAGACAAAGGAATCCCTACTGCTATTCATCTCAAATGAGTTTTATATTAAATTCAAATGAGTATACACATAAAAGAAATGAACATACACAACTGAACATTAAGCACATTAAAAATGAGTTTTATATTAAACTCCGATGAGTATACACTTCAAAGAATTGAACATACACAACTGATTATTAAACACATTAAAATGTGTTTTATGTTAAACTTAAATCTGTATAACGTCCAAAATCAATGACCATACACAAATGAGATTTTGAACTTTTTGATACTCATTTTGTAAATTATGTATACTTATTTGGTACTGCTTTATGTCCATTTAAAATGATGCACATATCAAATATAACGCCCAAAATCAATGAGCATACACAAATGAGCTTTTGAATTTTTGGATACTCATTTTGTAATTTATGTATGCTCATTTGATATTGCTTTATGCCCATTTTAAAATGATGCATATACCAAATATAACGCCCAAAATAAATGAGAATACACTAATGAAGTTTTGAATTTTTTGAT